GACATCCAGTTAGGCACCAGGCAAGTCTCTTTAGGGCAGTGGTGTCAAACTTGTGGACCGCCAGGTGTTTTGGACTTCAGCTCCCAGAACTCCTGGCCATTGGACAACCTGTCTAGGGCTCCTGAGATTTGGAGTCTGAAACATCTGGATGGCCACTAGTTTGACACCTCTGCTTTAGGGAGAACTATCTGGTTAGCTGTCACCAGCAAGAAGACATTTTCTTCAAGCCCACCTGGTGCACCAAAAGATTAATTTGAGATTAATGTTTCCTTCTCAGTAGTATGGCTTGGATGGAGAGGCACTTTACCTTCACTTTGATTCCCTACTCAAAATCTTTGAGTTAGTGGCAAGTTTAAAGTGTCTCCACACGAGCTTGTAATATTCAGGAGAATTACTTAGATATTTGGGGAGGGCTGCATCAACCTCCTGCTCTATTACATAGATCTCACTCCAAACTGTTGTGGTTGCATTTTAATAATTTAGCTATTCAGATAGTCAAAAAGGCTTTGGAACATCTGCAAGGCTGAAGAAAGAATTGTGTCACTAGTGCTGATCTGTCGCAAAACAATAAAAAAAGGCATCTAAATGGTGGACATGACATCGCTTCACTATTTATGCTGGATGTGCTTCTCTTTTCCATTTACGGTGATGAAGTATGCATAGCTAGAACACTTGCTCTTTCCAGTTTGCAGCAATTTGTTTTCATGGCTACATTCATTTAGTACATCCTTCTTCCCCTCCACCTTAAAAAAATAGATTGCTACTTCTAAAGCAATTTTTGCCCTGTTATGACTTCATCCACTCCACAATGCATTTCTAACTGGAGGGATTGGGGGAGAAATCAGACTGAAATGAAATGCTTGCATCAAAAACACACAGGGTGAGTCTACACTGGCCATTAAAGCCAAGGTCAGTCTGGAGCATTTATATCCTGGACTGGCCAAGGAGTCAGTTGGATGCATCTGGTCAAGCTTGCTACAGAGTTGTGGACCATGCCCACACGGTCCAGTCAGGCCAACATTGTATTCACATTCTCTGTGTTGATGCTGCTGCTCCTAGCTAACACAGAGCTTCTTCTGAGTGCCTGTCCATTGCCTGTCACATCTCTGATTCTATAATGGGGGACCCACCATCAAGAAGGAGGGAAGCTCTTGATAGTCACACTGATGCTTCATTCCGACATCATGGACATGACTACAACAACTGGGCTCTTGGACCGAGCTTCATTGCCAGCTAGGAGTGGTGACAACAATATGGGGATAAGTTCACCTTTTGCGTGCACTGATCTATGCAGTGAAAAGGTGATGATGGCATGGTGTCCGTCTGGACAGTGAATCAGGCCAAAGTGGATTGATCCAGCAATACAGACTGCCCTGAATGCCACGAATTCTAGGAAGCTCCAGAGTATCCCCAACTGCTAAAACATGGAAACCCCTCAATACCCATTAATATGGAGATAGCCAGCAATCGATTCGGGGTCAATCCTTTTTTTGTTGCCCACAGTCTGCAAATGCTAGAAACCCCCGATCTCATTTTGCAGGTACAATAGAAATGTATGGACCATTTATGGATGTAAGAAACATTGTCATGTTTTCTGCAGCTTTATGAACCATCTTCAACACATAGAAGGTCATGGCATGACTCAATAGAATAACACCTATTTCAAGACTATATGACAGCAATTGAATAGCAAATAGCAACTATAATTAAAATAACTATGAAGAAATCACTCAACATTATTGCTTCCATATATAATCTGAAGGACTTGACAATGTTAGTCTGTTGCCTCAAACATTTTTAGTTAGCATTTTGTGGCACCTTAAAAAGAAAAACACATTCTATTTGGCGTAAGCATTGATGGACTCTAGCCCACTTCATCAAATGTGTGATGTATGATGAGCTCACACTTCCGATGAAGGGGGCTGGATTAAGCAAAAGCTTTTGCCAAATAGAACTTTTTATTCTTTAAACTGCTACAAGGCCCTTTGTTGTTTTTCCAAGAAAAGATAGTTTGTTGAAATCAATACAGTGCAGATTTGTCACAGCATACATTACATACACACAACCTTTCTCCAGATTGGGATCAAATGTTGATTAAAAGTGTTTAAAGGGGAATGATTAACTTATATGACACTGCCTCATTACTTTAAAACAAAACCAAGTATCTCCAAATTATCACTGGCAAACTTTCACTATAAATGGCTTTTTCAATAAGCCTGTGCACAGTTACAGTGTGTAAATTCTATTGAAGTCAATGAGAGTTAAGTAGCATAACTGACCACAATGTTACAATCCTGGATTTCCACTGCGTTTTAAATTTTTTGGCAGTTTTATAGATTTAATATCACAGAGGAGGATTTTGCTATAGCAATGGCCAACTTGACAAACCATTGTTTTGTGAAATCTATTATGGAGGATCCTACGAGAATTCACACAAATCCATTCAGCTCTGCACTTAATATTATTTGTTGACGGCTCAAAGGCGTATGAGGGTCTTAGCTGTTTCATTATTTGCCTTTCCTCACATGCTTCTACATGGAATGGGGGCTAATACTTATTCTTTCCAAGTACATCACATTAGGATTTTCATTGGCAGCAGTAACAATTTTGCATTGGCATCAATTTGGCTCCAAGTGTAAAATTTTGTCTGTGTTGGCTGCCCTGCTGATGTGCTTGATATAACTTCTAAAAATGAAAGTTCATTTTCCATAGGTTATAAGTAGTCCCCAGTGGGTTTCAGAGCCAAAAATGCTAATATTTTTCAGATATAATGAGCAGCAGTAGACTGTGCATTACCATTAGCAACATTAGAAGAAAGAGTTTCAAAAATATGTTAGGGGAATAGGGTGGAGAAGAAGACATGGTGCTGAAGCCCAATGAAAATGTAACATACTCTTATCAGCTTCACACTTTTGCAAAGGTGCTTAACATAAAATTACACCCATCAGTGTTGCAGTTTAGCATTATTCTCCATGTTTATCCATGATTGTTTCATATTTAAAGAACAGCAAAATATTGTGTTTTGTCAGCCAAGGACAATAATAGTTTAATACTAATTTATTTTCCATTGCTACTGATAATACAACCAATCAACACGTTAAGTGGTGCCAACATTGGCATCTTGCTAAATAAATCTCTAGGCTTTGCACTGCGAGTACATCTTTCAAAGATAAGTCAACAAGAGCAATCAGAGCAGAAAATTAGAATTTGGTATGTTAGAATTAAAATACAGCTAAACTAAAGTTTTAATTGGGGTGATCTAAAAGGGCACTTGATGTAATGATCTCTTTCATTTGTTACTAATTGTTTGTTCCTGATGAAGAAGAAACATGTACATGAATGTTGCTGATTGAGTAAAGATGGCAGTTGCCATAGCAGCTCGTTTTTATTGTTCAACAAGAAGGGATAGTCAAAATGTAAAGGAGATCTGCCTGGGAGCTTGAACGTTTTCTTGACACTTTGCCACAAGGGATATATTGTTGTGGTTGCTATAACACAACATTGTTTGAAACTGTGATTTTAGAGTTTACCTGGAGAACTAGGGTTTCTCATTCAGTGACTGTGGCATTTAACCCAGAGTAATCTCTGTTCCTGCATGATTCTTCTTCACTTATGGTGTGAGAAAGGGAGGCTGGATACATGGTTGTCCACAGAGGATGCAAACATTGACAGTTCCAGCTGCACATATGGGCCTGATTTCTTTTCATAGCCCTAACTATGAAATCAATGGGATTTGCTTATATGTTGACTTAGCATTCAGCAATTCAAAAATCAAAAACTGTATTTTTCATGCAATTTAGGAGAATATACCTCAACTTCAGTTGACTAAAAATGAAAGACTGTAGACACTATTGGATAAATTGCTTTGCTTTTAATCATATAAAGAACAAGCACGACATAGAAAGACCATGACTTTATACAGCATGAGAAGAAACCATTATGGATTAATAAAATATATTTAGGAAACTATTTATTTATTTGTATAACATTTCTGCCCCGCTCTTCTCAACCCCCAAGGGGGGATTCAGAGCGGCTTACACTGGCAGCGATTCGATGTGGACATGTAAAAAAACAGATACAATAACTATAATAAATATAAATAAATATACTGAGTTTAAACTGTAAAAAACAGTAAGTTAAAAGCAATCAAAAAACATTCGTTTGTATTATGCAAAATGGTGTCTGTTGGTGAGTAACATTGTTTTGCAAGGGATCTTGTGGCCTCTGCCAAATAACAACATTTTATCAATGAGCGTACTAGAGTATTGCTTGCTTTTGTTGTGGCTTGCTTCTAGTTTGTACTCATTTGGTGATCATTCAATAACTACAGAAAGATTGCCCTTGTATGAACAGGAAATATAGTATAATCTGCTGTCTCCTTGTGTAATGTCAACTCTACTAACCCAGGTCAGTGAGCCTGGGCATGGATGAGGGCATTGCATGAATGCCCAGTAAGGTCCTCTACATACTGGAGCACCAATATAAGGGGCGGTCACATGTTATTTCTTTGTTTACCTCAGTTACCACAGCCTCTCTGCAAGCAAACAAGATCAGATTATGGTTGTTATTATCTACATTAGAAAGCAATACAATGATCTTTTCTGTTGAGGATACATCTTTTTCTTCCTCCATCTATTGCCTTTGCCATTTACAAAAAAAAAAAGAAAAGAAAAGAAAAGAAAAAAGGATTGTCTAGAGTTTTTTTTTAAGAACTGGGTTTTTCAGACCATGAGTTGGATTCAGATAGCTTGTTGCATTGACAATTCAATATAAACAATTAAAAATCTAACATATTTCAGTGCAAACTAAGTGCAGTGAATGATAGCTGGATCAGAGTTTATTTCTGTCAGTTCAATCACCTTAAAAAGTTGTCTATAAATTATTTTATGGATATTGATGTCTGTAACCCAGTTACAGCTTACTTTTAAAATTTCATAAAGTTAACATGCATTGATTTGATTGTTTCACAAGATTACGCTGTGAATCTTTCTTTCAAACAGGGCCTATTGAAGGTCGCCATAGACAATGCTCGAGCTCAAGAAAAGCAGGTCCAGCTGGAAAAAACAGAACTCAAAATGGAGCTGTTCAGGGAACGAGAACTGAGGGAAACACTTGAAAAACAGTTGGCCGTGGAACAGAAGAACAGAGGTAATGATAATAAAGTAATTGACCTCTGTGCAGTTGCTGCTTGAATGTTGGGAACATATTCCATGTAACATCTCATTCATATCAAATTATTTGAGCAGTTTGCTGTACAGTGTAATCCTTTCCATGTCTGCTCAAAAATAAGTATTCCCAGGAAAGTGGATATAGGATTGTGGCCTTCATTTCATTTCCTAAGAACAATTAGCTGAAATACAATATAGTCTGACATTGTAAACCTCTTAGTTTTCTAAAGGTTTTTAGTAGGAAGTTGTATTACCTTTGTATTGTTCCACAGTCAGTTTTGAATCTAGTTGAAAGGAGAATCACTCTCATTCTTCACACGATCTTATTAAATCACTGAGCCAAAGTCCCAAGGAATTCTCAAAATTTCAAGTGTCATACAGTGAGAATGGACATTTAGATTATTAGATGTAGGACACTTTAAAAAAATAAATTCTAGCCTTTTCTAAAAAAAAAAATAGCGTTTTACACCTGGTAAGTAGAGAAATAATGCCAGTTTGTAAGCATGGCTTCACAACTGGGGCTATGTAATGTGCAAAATACTAAGGATGGGCAGATTGATCTTCCTGGGAATATTTGTAATTAATCCAGGAAAACGGGGCGTATCCAGATGTTTACTGGACATCTGAAAATTCATCATTTTGCTTAATTATGAATTTGTTAGACCTTTTTCATGTCTGAATATAACAGGAAGCATTCATGGGGACCAGAGGCCTTCCTACAGACTGGCAAGCCAAATCAGGATCTTTCTGTGTCTTCCATATGTGTGCTACCAAAGGTTTTGAGGCAAAAAGAAATAGCACAGCTAAGGAGGCACACATTGTCAGGTGGTAAATTTTCCTGGGCATTACTTTTGCTCTTGGATAGCAAAGTACAAACAAAATGTTTCTTGCCAGTCTGAACAGAAGGGACATTTTATGGGTATTAGGGCATAAATATTGCACGTATTCTTAGCTTATTCAAGAGCAAAGCTCATTTTGTATTACATTAATATGAATCCTGCATATTAATCATCACCATTATAAAAATAATGGTGATGAACTAAGAACAAACAAGAATGCCCAATTTAAAAGAAAGATTGTGTTTTGACATCCTAGTATCATTAATACTGATCAGTGAAACTTACTTATAAGCAAATGTGTTTAGGACTGATGTGTCAGGATTATAGGTGAAAAAGTGAGCTAATGAACTAGTTGTAAAACTTTGTATGCTTCGAATAGCAAGGAGCCTTATATGGAGGCATGTGTGCACTATAGTTCTGAGTTATGCTACATGACATGTTTACTTCCCTCGTTTCCTTTGATTTCCATTTCCATCCTCTAATTAGAGACTGCTTTGACTGTAGAGGCTGATATGATTGTAGTAAAAGTAATGTCGTCTTTCTTAACTGGGCAGGTGCATAGCAAAGCATTACTTACCTTAGCTCTGCAATCCACAATCTTCCCTGCAAAAGATAAGGTGCCACATGCACATAATTCAGAGGTCTAGCTGTTCTTTCTTTCTATTCATTAAAGTTGTTTACAATGTGGTTGTAATAAAACATTAAAACCATAAAACTGCTCAAGAGCCATCTAACTCACAACTAAGAAGAAAACAGTTCTTTAGTGACGCAAGAGCTCTTGCAAGCCCAATAGAAATTGCATTTTTTTTTGTTTTGTACACATCTTCTTAAAATTGGTTTTCTACCTTGAAGACCTCTGCATCTGAACAACTATGAGAAACACCCGTTTTATAAATTATATCCCATTTCTGTACAATCATACATCTGTCTGATGTTTGACTTGACAATGAGCATTGTCCTGCTGTAGATGTCAGTATGATGTACACTCTCCCTCTACCTGCTATAAGGAGGGCAGTAAAGGGCAAGGAAGGTAGCAAATGATGTGTGCCAAAGAAAAGGAGAATGAAAGTGGAAACTGGAAAGTTAATAGGATTGGGCACCTCAGAAGAAATACAAACATGTTACAGCTTGAGAGGAATTTCTGACAGATTACACAGGTTTGTTTACCCTAATAGTTTATGCAGATCCAGAATGGAAAACCATTCTTTAATTCTTTAAGCTGTCTCTTACCTAAATTTAAGTTCATGATTAGAATAGTACATTCCAGCCTCCACTTTGTTGGGTGAAAAGAATCAGAAAGACACAAAGACTGTTCATTTCAAATATTGCTAACATGTTGAGAGTGAGTATATTTAGAGAACAAAATGACAAACACATATAGGGGTATGATAAATATGCAATATAGTAAATGACAAATAAGTATATTTTACATACAGGGGAATGTTCACATACAGTGATGCTAATTGGAATTTGGAAATTCAGTCAGGGTTGTGCAAAGTGCACATATTGTTTCTGAAATATTCCTTATTTGTTGAGATTGCTTTAAAGACCCAGATCCAGATCCTGAACAGTTAGACTTATAGCAAAATACATAAAAATAACTTCAGCAGAAGTCATGGACTGTTTGCGGTAAGCGAGGAGTAGACACACTTTGTTATAGCCATTTTACTTGTACAGTAGAGTCTCGCTTATCCAACCTTTGCTGATCCAACATTCAGATCCTGAACAGTTAGACTTATAGCAAAATACATAAAAATAACTTCAGCAGAAGTCATGGACTGCTTGCGGTAAGCGAGGAGTAGACACACTTTGTTATAGCCATTTTACTTGTACAGTAGAGTCTCGCTTATCCAACCTTTGCTGATCCAACATTCTGTATTATTCAATGCAGTCTGTCTCGTGCCCAGATCCATGGCTGTTTCAATACATCACAATGTTTTGGTGCTAAATTCGTAAATATAATAATGTTACTGTGTATTGAATTTCTTTTTCTGACGATTTGTTTTAAAACATGTTGTTTTGGTGTTTAATTTGTAATGTAATTTGACATTTAATAGGCTTTTTCTTAATCCCTCCATATTATCCAACATTTTCACTTATCCAACGTTCTGCTGGCCCAGTTATGTTGGATAAGTGAGACTCTACAGTATAGAAAAAATTCCAAAACTGGGCAGTGAAAATAAAGCTAGGTTTGGTTTAAAGAAATGTTGAGCACACATTCAGTGGTTTACATTAAATATTGTCATAAACATTTTAAACAATCTAAAATAAATAAACTGTTAGGGCCGAGAAACTGAAGTTGAATTTGAATTGTTTTTCCCCCTTCACAACAGCAATAATTCAGAAAAGGTTAAAGAAGGAAAAGAAAGCCAAGAGGAAATTGCAAGAAGCACTTGAATTTGAGACAAAGCGGCGAGAACAAGCAGAACAGACACTGAAACAGGCAGCTTCCACAGATAATCTCAGGGTCCTAAATGGTAAGAAGTCAGGCTCTTTTCATTTGTATGATTACTATGTGGTTCAAGTGGTATGTGAAATAGAGAATCTGGTTGAAAAAACAGGCTTTAGCTGGTTTCGCCTACTGCGGTTGAGAAAAATGAGCACTTCTCCTGCTCTGTATTGTAACTTTCATATCTTCATTATTGAGAAAAATGGGCATCTTCCCACCCCTCTGGATTGTAACTTTGATATCTGTATTGTTGTAAGGGGAAATTATAAACAGTCAATTTTATTAACTTAATGGTTTTGAAATGCCCACACCCTGTTTTGAATCTTACTGAAACATCTATTTCTCATTAATCTTGGTCCTCCAAAAAATTACTGCGTTGGTACCTAGTCATTGTTCAACATTAAAAACATGCCAAAGGTTGATTGTATTGTAATTCAGGACTGGAATAACAGGTTGTAAAAAAAAAAAAAAAGGGGGGGGGGGCTTTAAGACTCAAATGAAATATGTGTCAGCCTTACCTTTCTGTGCTTCCAGACTCTCTGACCCCAGAGATAGAAGCTGACCGCAGTGGGGGCAGAACAGATGCTGAAAGGACAATACAAGGTAGGAATTTGCAAAAGGCTATAAATCTAGATCTTACTATATTAGTTTTTCCTCTGCTTTAGCCTGCTATTCAAGCATGCAGCCTACCATCTGGGCCACATCAAAACAAGTTCATACAAGGTCAAGTTCATCTGGCTTTTTTTTTTTCCTTTGTAAGAGAGAATTCATTTTGTGTGGATAGATTTCCTTTAAATTAGCAGGTCATTTCTGTTTAGATAATGCAATTAAAAAGGAATAATTAATTTGAGGCAATGCAGAACTGCATCCAGTCTGGCTGAGGGGAATGTGTCTTTATAATGGCTGCAGCCACATTCATAGGAAAAAGAAGGGTTTTCCCCCCAGTACAAACAACTGGGTGGATAACTGACAACATAAACTTTACATCATAATAATTAGTAAATTACTTCCAAGGATTTCAAAGGGTGTGTTTTCAAGAAGCAGACTAAAAAAATCATATATTAAACTGTTTTCCTGTACCTAGATAAACATTCCTGAGTATCATTTAATTAATTGGTGCATATGCATAACGATGAATAAGGGCAAATATATTTGCAAAATATATACATAACTCATTATGAATATTTGAGTAGATAGATAGAAAGATAGTAGACAGAAAAATATTAATAAATGGCACATTTTCAAGGTTCTGTTTAGTTTATACTATCTGTGGTAGCTGATATGCTAAATATGCTGACATGAATACTGAACAGTGAAAAATAACATTTATTTTCAATTTTAAATGAAGGTACATTCTTCAAAGACAAGCCTAAAATGATTAGCCGAAGTAATCTCTCTGAGATGCCTTTCGTTTGCATTTTAAAGTCAATCACTCTAAAAGTATCATTTGCTGTCTTTCTGTGTGTTATTGAATTTCGTTTACCAACTCCTCTAAGGTGTTGCGGTTGCCATTATCCTATAGGAAAATATTCAGAAAGATAATAAGCAGCACATTTATTAAACATACGTCAAAAATAGAAAGAGAACAGGAAGTTTATTTTCACACATCAGGAAACTCAGCACAGGGCATGCCATGAATTATTTTGTGAAGTGTGAACTCAATAGACCAGGAGTGGCAAGATAGCAGTGAGGGGATGAGTGATCACTGATTGGGCTGTGTGTGCTTCACAAAAATCTGGTGAGCTTAATTTAGCTTAATTTAACCACCTGCCTATCTGCCAACTGTTGTCTTCTTCCTTTCATTTTACTGAAACCAGCCCAAAGAAACTTCAGATTTGTTTGAAAACTCAATGGATAAAAAAAGATAGATTGGATGTTATAAGTTGTACTCCCGTACTACAAGATAACAATTGGCCGCAACCAAAGGAGGAAGTGATAGCACCAATTCAGAGCGAGTTACCAGTTCTTTCACTCTGGTAAAAACAGTGATTACTTTCTCATTAATTCATTTATGCAAATATTGTTCTCTGGACGGTGGATCTAGTTTGTGATGCTAATATGAGTGAGCACACATGCTTGAAAACCTGGACTTGGTAACTTGCTCCCAAATTGGGTCTCCAGTTCTGAATTCTTTTCTCTCTCTCAGGTGATCCCAGTCTGCAGTCTTCCCAACCCAATCCTAAGCATGTGTAGTATGCCATAGAGTCAGTGTAGTTAAGTGGTAATACCATATTTACTCTAGTCTAATGCTCATCTTTTTTGGCTAAAACACATTGCCAAAATTAGCATGTGCATTAGAGTATTACAGTAACTTAAGTGCTCAGCCAAAGGAAAAGGGGAAGTGCCATGAATCTTGCACTCATGGAGCAGCCATGGGGAAAAGAATAAAAAGATGGAGAGAAGGAAGCTACTTGCTTTCAAAACATTATCTGCCTCCCTGTCCCAAGGTTAGAGCTACTGGAGGCTTCATCAGGGTGCCTGGGAAGTGAAGGGAGGACTTGGGAAGTGGGGAAGAAGCCTAGCCCAGGAGGGGTGGGGGGGGGAGGAGAGGCAGCAGCTGTTGCCGAGCCCAGCTTCACAAAGCGATTTTTCCAATTTCTTCACCTGAAATATAACCAATCCCAACATTTGATGGTCTCCCTTTCAAAAATTAATTAGCACTGACACTGCTTAGTTTCCAAGGTCAAACAAGATTTGCCTCATCACACTGCAATTCATCCCACTTTAAAACCTCCTGCAGAATTCTGGGCATTGGAGTTGATTGAGTCCCAGGACTTCTCTGGTTGAGAATGGTAAAAGCCCCTCCCTAAACTACAAGCCCTAGAATTCTGCAAGAGGCAACCACAGGATTGAAACTGGGCAGTCTCTAAATCCTATTTTAGTGTGATTGCTTTTTGGAGTATTTACTCCCCATAATTAGTTTTTGTAAGTCAGAGATGTATTTTATGAGATTGCTTGTGGTTCACGTTTGCAGTTTGTTAGATTTGAGGGCTAAACTCTAGGATCCGCACATAGCCCTCCTGGGATGTATCTACATTTCAGAATTAATGCAGTTTGACACCACTTTTATGACCGCATCACAGAAGGGCAAAATTGGTGGTATGAGCTAGTTCACCTTCTCCTTTATGACAGAGCTCACCAGCTCCCATTACGCAATGCACTGCAACTTCTTGAAAGGGAAAGCAAACCATCACATGCTGCCGCCACAGCAACACAAGAAGATTCCTGTGTTGCCTTGCATCAATGAGGGGAAGCCATGCAGCAGATGCTCCCCCCCCCCCAGGATGGGGGTATCAGTGAGTTGTGCAAGGTGTGGGGCAAGGGGTTCTCCTCGTCCCTGAATGGCCACCGCCTGAATCACCATGCTCTGTGATGATTCCAGCAGCACGTGTGAAGAGGTCTTTCATTGCCATGGCGCAGTCCTATGTAATCCTGGGAGATGGAGTTTGTTGAGACACCAGCATTTTTGGCAGAGAAAGCTAAAGACTTTGTAAACTACTCCTCCCATTCCTCCCATGATTCCATAGCATTGAACCATAGCAGTGAAAGTGGTGTCAGATTGCATGAATTCCAGTGTAGAGTCACCCAAGGACTTTGGAATCACCTAAGATGCACCGATACTGTACGATGGCATGCTGTTTGATAACACTTTGAATATCATTATTCAGTGTATGGAATCATGGGACTTGTAATTTGGGGAGACAGCAGCCCTCTTTGGCAGAGAAGGCTAAATAACTCATTGAACTACAACTCCCAGGATTCCATAGCATTGAACCAGGGCAATTAAAGTGATGCATTCATTCTGCAGCATAAATTTGCCCAAGGAAGCTGAGGCAGGATAAACAGTAGAAGCTCCTTGAGGGAAGGGTTTCCTAATTCTCTGGTTTTCCTTTCCATTGCCAGAATATTGCTGGAAGATTTGGTGTCCTAACACTTGGATTTTAAAGAAGCAATTCTAAGCATGCAGCAACTACAATGCACACCTTTTTGGGGCAAATTAGAAAGAATGCACTTTTTGCTGCTGCGTATTACATTTGCCAGCATTTTTTGGAGAGTTTTAGGATTTTGAAAATTGAGGGGCACATTACATTCAATGGCAAACTAGATTGAGTCAGTACAGGGGATAATGATGATGTATGTATGTATTTATTACCCGCTTCTCCTTTTGGCTACTGGACTAGTACATCAAGTACTATTTATGGAGAACTTTGGTCATTCACCATACGGCAGCCTAATGTTCCCTCAGGAGAGAGTGCTTTGTATCCTTCCTTGAGCTGCTTGAATGCAAGGAAAGATATAAGTATGAAAATAAATAAACAGCATACTACGGCAAAAGCATCCATGACCTTCATATTAGATGAGTAGCCAAAAGATCACATTGGACAGATAGACTTAACAAGATGGTCTGGAGATCTCTAGATTGCATCAGAGAATGAAGACATATCTCATCTAGATGAGTCTAAAGTAGAAGGCAAGGTAGAAAAGTTTACTTGACCTCTTTGACATAAATATGTTCAGCTATACATAAATCAGAATGCTGATAGGACAGGTGCCTTTTTACTAAGAGTTATTAATATGTTCATTCTGAGTGTGATAGGATAGCTTGTCAAAATGAAGGTGTCGTTTTTTAATCGGTAGGTCTTAAAGAAAGAAGGTTGAAATGAGGGGAAACGTTCAAATCTACTGAGCTAGGGATAATGTAAAACTGATATCTGCCCAGTAGCAGCCAGCCAGCATAGTTGAGCTGAGCCAGTATGCATTTACTGTATTCCCTAAATCAACTGCTTATTAGTGGATGAGCTATTGCGTTCTGCATTAGTTGCACCAGACTGCCTTCAGAGATGGCCTCATGTCAAGTGGAAATATATCAATATAGGAGGTTACCAGTAGCCATGGAGTATTCTTAAAAGGTGTTTAACAGACAGGGTAGCAGCCTTTATATATATGTTTACTGGCTTGCTTATTTTTGTTTGCTCATATTATTTATTACTCATATTACCCACGGGAAGGAGATGGTGCTCCATGCAGTCATGCTGGCCACATGACCTTGGAGGTGTCTACGGATAACGCCGGCTCTTCGGCTTAGAAATGGAGAGGAGCACCAACCCCCAGTCAGACACGACTGGACATAATGTCAGGGGAAAACCTTTACCTATTACTTATTTAATTTATACTTCCAGTCCCATTAACAACACTACAGTGTTGTTACAATACAAGTACCTGCATCAGACAAAATATGTCCTCTCTGGTAATTTTGTAGGTCTTCTAGGATCACTCTGTGGTAACTTCTGGCAGATGTCATTCATTTATTTAGGGTTTATTATCATCCACAGTTTCCATGGTAAGTTCAAGAATATACTCCCTGTGGATATATGGCCTGTACTGTATTTTCAAACAGATCAGAAGCATTTTAAACATAATACAGAGGTCGGGGAGGAAATGCAGCACACCTATTAAAAGATTCTTCTGCATTCCAGTCTTTCAGAAGAGCATATGACTTACTTGTTTAGTCTTGCCTTTCCTAACACAGATTTTATGAGCCACTAAATTGAAATGGTTTTAGTTACTGTTTAAATATTTACTGGGATTTACTTCTTTAAAAA